TATTCCTTTGCAGCAGAATTCCAAAACCCTGGAATTAAACGTTATCTGAAATTTCAGCTATGTAAACGCTGGCTGGTTAGCAGAGCTGTCGTCATTCTTTGCTGACTACTGCTTTGGTGAAGAAGCACACAATTCTTTGATCATAGATGATATCAAACCTTCTGAAATGCTCGAGTTTTTTCGTTGTATCTTTTTTTGTCCTATGAGGAAACCGCTCACAGGTGAGATTTCGAGGAAATTTTTCTCTGCCTTGAAGGAACGCTAGTTTCTCAAGTCTCACGTAAAAGTTTTAAGTAAAGGGTCGCACACGGTCACGGTCAGGCAAGTGACAGACTTTGAGTCCGTCGCGCGGCGCTCGTAAAATCTGTCACATGCCCCAATTTTTACGCACAGGTTTTGTTTGTTAACTGCTGTTTTTGGCCGCAGTTCGCCTTGCGAATGTTAATGTTAGAAGTTTTGTTCACAACCCAGCATTCTTGCGAAACATTTAGGCTGGATGTCAGAGTCCGCGATCCTTTGCGCGATTTTCGCGATTTGCGCGATTTTCGCGATTTGCGCGATTTGCGCGACGGGTCACGGAAATCACAAGTGCCCCATCAATACTGCAAGGTGTTCTCCAATCCCGCCGTCACTTCTGCTTGATGGTTATGGTTTAATGGAGACTGCTCATGATTCCACTTGTTTCATATCCAGTGTTTCAATTGTTCAAATGGGGCACTTGCAATTTTTGTGATTGGTTTGGTTTGATTCCTGAAAAAAATAGGAACGATTCAAGAGCATTTCAATGAACTAATAGACATTGAACATGAAACAAGTAGAACCACAAACATTCGTCTTCCAATCTTTACTGCCAAGCAGAATTCGCAGCAGGATTAAACAACACCTCGCAGTATTCATCGGGCACTTCCAACTCCTGTGATCCATCGCAGGTTTCGCGAAAATCGCGAAAATCGCGAAGAGCGGATCGCGGACTCTGACACCAGCCTTACGCACAGTCTCATCTGCTGTCAATAATACAATAATACGAAATCGTGTACTGTTGTGATTCGCTAGGACAAAAAGCGACACTTTCGCTTTTCGCAGCGCAGGCCGTTTCTCGCTGGAAGAACCTCAGGACCACCTTTGATCAGGTGTGCACCTGAAGTTCCTCCGGCGAAAAAAGTCTTGCGCTGCAAAAGCGAAGTCGCTTTCTGTCCTAGCGAACCACATCCACTACGAACGAGCGCTGTTTGACCATGCTACCAATTTTTCTGGGACTAATTCCATCCCTTGTCTATGCACTTTTTTCGAAGCCTCGATTGGTATAGTACCATCAGGGTTACTGTGGCCAAACCGAGCTACTACGCCTCCATCGTCCCCTCCACTCCCCACCTTCCCCACCGCCAGCTATTATTTCTTATTTACATCCTGCATACATTTATTTACAGTGGCGAATGTGTCGTTAATTTTGCGTGTTGCATCTCGATTCGAGATGAAACCCGTGGTTGCAAGATGTGAGCAATTTGTTGCCCGTTCCGCTAACACACTCGACCGGGATCGGCTATTCCAGGTAAAACTTTCTGGGTGATTAGTATTCTCAATAATAATTAATTTGAAGCCCGCTCAAGCGGAGCTGGCCTGAGCGCTCATTCACAGTCTTTCGTACGAGTAGCGATCGCACAGCATTAGGTACATATCGATCGTCTGATCGCCCGAAGTGTTCAACGACCGATACATATCTGATGCTGTGCGATCGTTACGATCTTTACGATCGGAGGAACGAGTATGAATGTGAATTGACAGACGGCTCCGTGTCCGCAGCTAAGGCTGGTGTCAGAGTCCGCGATCCGTCGCAGGTTTCGCTGATTTTCGCGATTTGCGCGATTTGCGCGATTCACGCGACGGGTCACGGAATCACAAGTGCCCGATCAATACTGCAAGGTGTTCTCCAATCCTGCCGCCACTTCTGCTTGATAGTGATGGCTGAATGACGACTGCTCATGATCCCACTTGTTACATATTCAGTAATTCAGACGTTCACACTTGCAATTTTTGAGATCCGTCGCAGGTTTCGCGCAAATCGCGCGAATCGTGAAAATCAGCGGAACCTGCGACGGATCTCAAAAATTGCAAGTGTGAACGTCTGAATTACTGAATAT